ATATATATATATATATATATATATATATATAAGTAAAATAACTCTCAGTGGCAGAAGTCGAAAAAAAATAAAGTACTTGATTTTTCGAAGGATCGTAAATCATATCTTGTAAAGCTCTTTCAAGTTTTGGCACAATGTTTATTGCCAGAAAAGCAGACATCGTTGATGACCCAAAACAACCTTTCCATGGTCGAAGCATAGACAAGGCACTAAAAATGAGTTAAGTTACTCTGACGCAACTTAATGTATAAGACTACCAAAAAATGAAGATGATGCAATTTTTTTAAATCTCAATTTGACAGTTCTATAATATATCACAAAATTTAAAAACCACGTAAATAACCTTCTATCCGTTGGATTCCATTCTTTTAGGGCTTTAGCCAGTTTCTGTCTAACTGGAGCAAAAACCGGTTGAAGTCGATCGCCCATCACATCGAGCCATGGATGTAACCATATATGAATTGGTACACGATCAGTTAGAGGGTTCCACTCATCTACTTGAGCAGCTATTCGAGGAATTATTATCTGCAATTGTTAAGTTCACAAAATGGTGCATATTTAAAACTACTTCGGGTATTATAAGCAACCTGTTAAGCGGATAAAATTTAAGAATACCCAAATCTACCTGCTCTAAGAGATTCTCTCTCATCCATAGAGGTAATAAAGGCAACCATCTTTCAACAACATGCAGCATCGACTGGGCATCATCGCGTGGATACCATCTTAATGCAGCTTTTCTAATCGCAGGCATCCATCCATTCCACATAAGACGTTCAAACGGTGGGAGGTTTTCTGCAAGTTTCACGCTGATCACCTTTAATTTTTCACTTTTTAATGAGATCAAAAACCTATACCCAAAGTCTTCGTGTAGTTTAATACACTACGGTCTTCGTTTTCCAATATCTTTTTCCATTCAGTCATGAGAGTTATACCATAATTTACTTGCGCACTATCAAGTGCATCCCAGACAGAAAAATGTTGTTTGATCTGAAATATTTTTTCAGGTTGCACCTAAAACTTTTTAACACAAGTGGAGATTACCTATGATAAGATCGATGAAATAATCAAATATTTCAATATCATACTTTTCGCTTCAATTGCGAAATGAAAACTACTTACCAAAGGTAAAACAACAGCAATAGCTATTTCTTCCAATCTAAACAAACGATATTCCTCGAAATATTCTGTTTGCATTTTATCGAACAATTCTCGACACTCATCCAGCGTTATTTCTCCTGCATCGTTTTTTGAAGAGAACCTACAGTTATGTGACAGTGATAAAGTCACAAAATTCCGTTTAAACCCTAAGATTTTTTGCTGACAAACAATTACATACAGTCACAATACATATTAATTCCATGCCCTCATAATTTGTATAGTTTTTTAACCGCTGCAATCAGTAAATTAACACAAACCATTCCAAAAATTCATACAGTTCTTGTACCCTTTTTTGTCCTTCATGCTCTTTTCGCAACATTTGCGTCATCTGCTGGCGATCATTTTTAAGAACTTTAGTTTGATCCTATAACGATATAATTTAGCACCTGATAATAAGAAATTGATTTTTTCGATTCAAAACAATTTATAACCTATTTAAACGATTTAATACCTGTCACTATCCAGAAAATGATTCCTAAAAGCAAAAAATTTTGACTTACGATCACTATTTCCTCTTATTATTACCTACTTTAAGCAAGCGCTTTTCTCGATTATTTCGACGGATGATATTTTCTGTCTCATCAATTAACAAATTTAGATTATGCATGAGTTCAGGAACATCGAATGCAAGACTTTCTGCGCCCGATTCTTTAACGGCCCTGAAGTGGTTTCTCAGTTACAACAAGAGCAAAATCAGGATATGAATATTTTAACGACTACAGACTTGGAGTAATACCTGGTCTTTGCCGCATAGGCGTCATAACCACAGTAAACCTTCTGTTCCTTTCCTGTCATATCGATTACCTGAAGATAATTAACAAGCTTGATTTTTAAGAAGAAAAGGTTGAAGTGATACATTAATGAATAAACACTGATTAATGTTTCTGAATTCCAATATCCAGACACTTTATCCACACGCTTTACAACAATGATTTTAGTCAGTCCTACATATTCTTGCCATGAAAAATAGATATTCCATATTCTAGTTGCTCCACAGAAATAAAGAGAGAACCTTTACACCGCTAACATCTCCAACAAACTGTGGCTTAGAGTAAACACCTTCCGCAATAACTTCATCTATCGTTTTATAATGATACTTCATTTTTTTAACGCCACTTTTCCTCCAATTTCCCCTGCTCACTAGATCCTCCTTCCTTTCATCGTCACTAACACTTTCCATTCTTTTCTGCGCTTGAGCACCTGATTCTTAAATGATCCAAATTTTTAATAAACTTCAAACAAATTCTGCGAGAAACCGAGAATTTGATATTTTCTAAATATACAGATTGCTTTTCTGTCTCGTGAAAACAACTGTGAACCGTAGCAAATTGTAAAGCAACAAAGCATAGTAACACAGACCTCCAAACTTTGGCCCTTTAGATTCTCTTCCATAAGCACCAACAGCAGCTCTTCCTGGTCGAAGAATAGCCTGGATAGGTTCCACAATTCCTTGTTTTTGAGCGCCCAATCCTTGACCAGGGACATAACCCATTTTTCTCATCATTTTCATAATGACATCTGATTTCGAATGCTTCGCCCAGTCTGCGAATTTTTCAGGATCCACAGTACTATGTGTTGACCTTGAAATAATCTTTAGAACATTTTCCGTATAAGTAAGTAACAGTAGGTTCACAACTTACGACGAACGAAGTCCAGCGAAGACATTAGCACCGGCTTGCTGATGACGTTCTCTCTGAGGTTTCTTCCAAAGAATAGCTTTATCATTCGCAACATCAGATTTGCTCTAAAGAGCTCAAGTTTAAGCAAATTATAAAATATCAACGAAAATGGTAATTAAAAAACCTATGCAGTTTTATTCATATTTCATTTCTACACCATACGATTGTAATAATCTAACTAACCTCTCCTTCAATCTTATTACCATATTTCACACCACCGCTAACGAATGCTACAGGTGCAGAATAATTTTTGTTGTATTTCTTTGAGCCAGCTGAACCAAAACCAGCACGTTCATTGTCTTCATCACTTTCTTCATGCTCAGCCCAAATACCTGAATATTACTCCTTAAATTTATTATATGAAAAATGGAACAGAAATAAACATTAACTACAATGAAAACCAGATAAAAAAAAGAGTTCCAGGCAGAACGAACTTAAAGGTATGTAATAATTTAGTACTTGAATACTCGCATAAGGCTATCGACAACGTTAGTAAAATAAATTATTTTAATATGCAGCAGTCGATCTAAACAAGAGATTATAGGAAAAAAAAACCATAAAGCTGTTTGTTTTTAGATAATCGTCGGCGTTTTTCTGGATTAAACGCGCACTCTAAGTCACGTTCACTGATAGAGAAACTTTCCATCCCATCATCTTCCTCCATGTTAATTAATATTGATAAGAAGTTCAGCAAAATGAAACAATAGATAGAAAACTGAACAAATTCACTAACTGTAACAAATATAGCATATTTCGTAAGAAATTTAGCGCGTGCTTGTATCTTGCTAAAATAAAATATCCGTGTTTATTAATACTGATAACAATTCCAGCAAAATGAAACAATAAATTAGCTAAGAGCTAGAAAACTGAACAAATTCACTAACTGTAACAATTATAGCATATTTTGTAAGAAATTTAGCGCGTGCTTCTATCTCGCTAAAATAAAATATTTAGTACGGCCCAATGATGAAAACTAGTTTCTCATAAAAATTAAAAATGTTAAAGAAAAATGTTGACATCTTATTGTGTAACAATTTGTTAATAAATTTAGTATTGAAAGCTCAAATTTTCTATCTAATTTAAATAAAAATATGAATATTATTTATTGCCTTGTCATAGTATTGTTTGACTAAGCCTCCATTCTAGCATGTTTTACAACTATCGTTTGTATTTGTTGATATTTTTCAAAATCACTGAAATTATATGCAATAATTACTAATATGTCATCTATTTTTATTCTTTTCATTGTAATAAGCGTTCAGTAGGATAGAAAAGTTTTCATCTTCAGTATCATTGCGCTTAAGCTTTGCTGCAGCTTTAAAGGCAACTTCTGAGACAATTAGTGGCCATATCAGTTGTTACGATGGTACTTTTAGGCAAGTACACATCATGCTTACTGCTCTTAAGACTAAATTAAAAATTAATATAATAGTATTATTATTAATGTACATAAATATGAAGGTTACTTATTTGCTGCCTCATCTTAACATTAATGAGGTATTCATCTCAGCACACATATAATTACAATTATTATTCTCGTTATCGCTAATCAGTTATTATTACTGTTAGCATTCTTCTGCTTTGCAATATCAAAACAGTTGAATATCGACGAAACAATGAATTGCCAGTGTCTTTGTTTTGTAAACGTGAGATCACAATGCAAGCATTTTTCTTCTTATTTTTTCAAACTTTGACCATATTTTAAGAAATGTGTTAAGCAATGAAAGCAAGTCACTATTTAATGTTGCAAAAGGAATCTGATATCATTATGAACTACCATAGTGGCGCGGATAAGTTATCTAACTTGCCCGTAATAAAATTATTTGCCTTTTGTAATAAGTGACGTAACTTATCCAAGAGCATAATTGCTTTTGAATCGTGAAAAAAAAAAGATAAACGTAAATAGTTTATATCAAAAATAAATGAATGAAAATAAACGTAAATAGTTCTTCATATCATAAGCAGCAGCAAAATAGCATGTATATTTTTTTAACCAAATGTTACCACAAATTCTGTCATAATTTTTTGTGTTTATCAATAAATTATTGCTTTCAATATTTGTATCGAAAAATGACTATTTTTATAAAGGATTAATACAATAATTAATTCATAAATATATACGCACATATATGAATTATTTATAGCGCTGTACAATGTATGGATAACTGGAGTAGATGGCGGAAAAAAGAGGATATAATTATGAATAAATTAAACACAACCTAATCAAATAAGTTTTATAAAGCTACCATTGCCGTAAATAATCTTATATCTAATAATTTTAGTTATTAAAATGATGATTAACGGTTGAAAAACTTACATTCATAGGACCAAAGCAAATAAATGTCTCAGAAAATTCATTCAGAATAATGATAAGAGTCAAAGGGTAGTATGTAAATTTTAGTCTTCTCTTTTCCATTTGACTAAAATTAGCTAAAATAAAAAATTGCATATAAAGCTATAGTTGCTTTGAACAAAAGTTTGCAGTTGAGTAGGAAAGTAATGGCAAAGGAAAATAGTTAAATGGCTTACTTAGACCTGGGAATGCTACCCTCAGTGAAAATTGCTTTCTGAGTGCTTCACCCCAAAAAATAGCAAATGCATTCAAATATTTATTTAAATTGATTATTTGTCCAGAATAGTCTACTTTTCTCTATAATTTATTCGTAAGTAATGCAAAAAGATGTAAAGGTGAAGAAAGTGTTACACATTTGAAGTATTAGAATTGATTCATTCTGAGGTTTTTTGATTGAGCACTCATTTCCTCATCAAAATAATGGCCTTAATTATCAATAAATTCAGTAAGTCAAGTATAGTTTTCTTTAATATTATGGTGATTTTTACTTATTAAATATTACATACAAAACTGCTTATAATTCAGATCTAGACTTATTTCACGCTTAAAATTATCTCATTTTAAATGTTCACAATGTTTAATTTTGTTTCTACTCATGGCATTGCTAGAAGTATTGAAGTCAATTCTTATAGAAGAATTAAACTTTGATAAAACTGGTGGAAACGTCAAGTTCATATGATTGATGATAATTTCATTCTACATTTCATTAACTTTGCAAAGTTTACTGAAAAAGTTAGCTTATTCATCTCTGACACAAAAATTTAGCTGTCAATGAGCATGTTTTTGAAACAAAATAGTTGACTTTTAGTCAAAATAAAGTAAGAAAAATGGAGTAAAATTTTAACTTTTTCTACATTAATTTGTAGTACAGAGAAGGAAGAATTTTACAATATTCTGTTGTCATTTTCTTCAGTCATAGCAATGCTACAGGTGAATAAATATTGTAAAAGAATTTAATAAATTTGACAATTTCTCGTCTTGCATTTTAGATGACAAATAAGATGAAGATATTCTAATAATAGTAAAAAACTATTGAAGAAAAAAGAAGAAATTTTGAAAATGAAATTAGCAGTTGCATTGAGAGGAGGGTGGTTTCTGCATGCATGGAGCATCCAAACGTTGGCCTTTGGGATGAGTAGTTGCCGGATCTGAATCCAAAGATTCCGCCATTTTGTCGCAAATTATTTCGACTAATTTTTCAAAAACTGCTTTGACATTTATATTTTCTTTGGCAGATGTTTCAAAAAATTCCAAACCTAAAAAATTGCCATTATTCTTTATTCCAATCAGTACTACTAAATTTTGAAAATTAAAAAAAAAAAATTATACTTAATTCACTGTTTAATTATGTATTACTTAATTTTGAGTGATGAGAAAATAAATGAATGATTATGGCAACTAATACCAAGCTGATCAGCTAGTTGTTTGCCTCGTTCACAAGACACTACACGTTCGTCATCCATATCGCATTTGTTACCGACGAGTACCACCTGAGCATTTTCCCAAGAATATGTTTTGATTTGTGTGCACCTGTTTAATATTTAAATTTTTATTGCGTGACTACATAATATCTAACTGACTAATAACCAATATTTTTCAGAAATTTCTATTTATCAGTAGGTATTTCTAAGTTTTTTACTTCGATAACTCACATTTCTGATAATGAGTCAAAATAAAAATTTAAATAATAAAAAGTACTAGACAAACCTAGCCAAAAAAAATTTTTTTGTAAAATTTTGTCAAGTGATAGAAATAATATAACTGCTTCTATTTCTTTATTTTATTTCTCGTACTACTAAATTTCTGAATCTTCAAATTAGTAATAACATGAAGCGTTTTAGATTTTCATTAAAACTATTTTCGAAGTAAAATAGTGCATTGTAAATAGCATATCTAATATGTTTTCATACCCTGGTCACAATATAATTTAGTGCTTCAATAAAAGATTAATGAACAACTGTTTTTTTTAAATTTTTATTAAAATCAGAGATGCAAACCAAAGTAATTTTATAAAATTTAAAAAGAATGTATAATTATGGAATTTTCAATAAAATACAAACCAATCCTGAACGCTATTGAATGATTCCTCATTGGTAATGTCATACATAAGAATAAATCCCATTGCACCGCGGTAATATGCTGTAGTAATTGTCCGATATCGCTCTTGTCCTGCAGTGTCCTGAAAAAATTTCACAGATAAAAAATTTTATTGCTCGCAGTATCAAATATTTGTTAATAAAGTCATTTATAAAAAGGGTCTATTAATTAATTTGTTTTTGAGCTGATTAATCAGTTTCTGAGTAAATGTTGGATTAAGAAATGAATGCCTCTAAGGTAATTTACTCAATAACTTATAGAACGAAAATTTTTATATTCCTGAAATAAACTCTCTTCAAAGACAACATTAATTATTAGTGAAAAACTCTTATCTTAATACTCTATTACTGTAATATTAATGCTTGCTTTTTTGCTTGATACTTTGCATTATACATATGCCATCTATGATCAAGAAAAATTCATTTTGTATACATAAAACGCACCCAAATTTGTAATTTGACGCGTTTATCACCTCTGAAGACTGTTTTCACTTTGAAATCAATGCCAACGGTTGAAACAAATGCTGACGTGAAAGAGTCATCACAGTATCGAAACAGAAATGAAGTTTTACCAACTGATGAATTACCAATAATTAAAAGTTTGAACATATAATCAAAATTTTGATCTGTTCCTGTTGGTGCAGATGCTATTCCACTACTACCACTCGCTGCCATACTCTATATTCCTTTTAAAATTTTATCTTCATTTCACACAGAAAATAAGTAAACGCACAAACGCTAGTTAAAACTGATAATAATCCTTTACTTAAAGTTGTGATCAATGTAAAACTGCAAATAATTTGTTGCATGATAAAAATAGATTTCATTATTTATTTTTATACACAATAATATTATATTATTTAAGCTATTTAAACACTTTTTCAAGCATTTTTGCATTCAGCATTAAAATTATATAATTAGGCTTTATTTTTGTTAATTTTAGCAGTTGATCATTATAGGTAAAATTATCACTAATCTGTAATAAGATAAGAGAAACGAACGAATCAGTTATAAACAACAAGATATAGTAAATAGCACTTACACTGGTAAAAATTAAAGTGAACAAAAAGTATATATACAATTAAAAAAGCTTCTAACTGACTGAGTGAAAAAAGTTTAATACTTTTTGCTTATTTTGAAAAAATATTGGCTGACTGAGAGATTACTTTCTATATTTGTCGAGCTTTTACAATGTAGTAAAAGTGCGTTTGTGCGTCAACTCTCGCCTTCATGGCAGATATAGAAAATTTTTCCTTCTTCTCGCACTATAATAGCTCTACTTTGAATAAAAAGCAAATTTCTGATTTAGTGCACAAATTTACAAAGGGAAAGAATGAGATAAAAATTATGCATGCAAAATAATGAAATTTTTGAAGGAGTGCAGCATATTCACGCTTTAAATGATTATTTACAGCTTCAAAGTAAAATTTAATCACTTTCAAAATCTTGATCTGAGCTCTCTGTGCTTCTTGAAAGTAAAGACACATTTGACTGAGACAATAATCAGCCTGATACTTTTCCATTATTGCATAATTACAAGCAAAGTTGCAACAAGTTTTGAAGAATATACACATTTTTTTTATTTTTCATCTTATAACTTTGTATTAAAAGATTTCAAAAAAGATACAGTAAATATTACAGTATTTTCGTGTGCTGTCTCTATCGTTCACATTATTTGCAAACAAACAAATTCAATTATTATTGCTGACAGTAATCAGAGCAATGGAAAGTTTACTGCTATCATTTTAGAGATAATCCATGAAGTAATAACATAGATGAAGAAGCTTGGAGAAAAATTTGCACATTAACTGAGACATTGATTTAAAAACGCACCGAAATCAGCTTAACCATTGAAATAGTAGAAAATAAGCAGAGAAAGCCATTCATTTTCAAGCATTTCACAAAAAATGTCAAACAATAAATACAAATTTTATTAATGAGTTGTTGCGATAATAAGAATACACTGAGTGCTAGTATTCAGTACAGTAACGCAATATGATTTTATGACTGCGTTTACAAGTTTACGAATTAAGCAATGCTGACTGATGATAATATATAAATAAGTTGCTCCTAGGGGAAGAAAATATAATACTTTCTACACAGTAAAGACAGAATGAAAAAAGGAAGAAAATGCAGATGGTCGACTTCAGTGCTGCGATAGACGTGAATTTCTGAGCTAAAAATACACAAATTACTTGCATCAATTTATGTTATGTGATGTTATGTTATATTTATCGGAAATTCAGTTGAATAACTGACTTCATGCACAAACGAACATTTTCTGCTATGAATTAAACTGTACAAGAAAACTCACAGACCGTTTATTCACTTCCTTGTACAGTAATGACAAATATGCAGTCAAATAAGTTAACTAACTTTAATAAATAATTTATTCAAATGCTTTTTTGATAGAAAGTACGTTTTCTACTGACTGCCTTAAAATATGGGCTAATGAATGCTAGCTAATTCAATATTTGTAGTAATAAAGAATACTGTTGCTTGTTATCAACAACAATGATTTTAGACTAAAATAGTACTAAGTAAAATGACATCAAACAAAGTGACAAGTGACGTGAAAATGGAATGAAGCAAAAAGAGGAACAAGAAGATGAAGAAGCTCAGTTTGACAGGCAAACTAGCATCCAACGAAATAAGCAAAAAGCAAGCAAACAAGCAAGCAAACTTGCATGAATCCGAAATAATAACTCTCAAGCTTGTCTCATGCATGCTACAACGACCAACCTCCAGTTACTAGCAAGCAATCTCATGCAGAATCAACTCTGTTCCAATAGTTTATCCTTCTTCCTTCATCTATTCCATCAATATATCCCACCTCTACATCATTCATTCATCTGTCTATCCATCTACCCATCTATGCGTGAATAATATATGAATATATACGAGCATGCGAATCAGTAGATGCATAGCATCATCGATCTCCAGCAATAAATTTTTTACTTCTTGAGATGAAGAGATGAAGCCAAGATGCAAATAGACATGCAATCAAACAATACTCATTCACTCTTTTATTCGCATACAAGTTAAAAACTATATATATATATATATAGTTTTTAACTCTCTGCATATTAGATGGAGATAGTATCCTACCATTTGCAATCACAATACAACGTTGTTCACTTCAGATCATCCCCTTTACACCCTTCAAAAACAATAATAACTTTAACTTTTATTGCATATTTCCATGTTGCTTACTTGTTACCACTGATTATTACATGCATCTCCAACATAGTATAGACTTCCAAACCATCGTACTTCCCATTACTTTTTAATTACTAATTTTCAGGTAATTTTTATCTCCTGAAAGCACTAATACATATTCGCAATGTATTTCGTGGTATATGTTGCTTTCATTAATACTTTCAATTGCTTTCATTATATTTTCATCACAAAATAGGAATTTTTTTGCTTTTTGAATACTAAACATTACGTGATATAATACAATACGAATGTTTGACGTGTGATATATTAATTTTATGCAACATTAATTTCACTACTTGCTACTTTTTTAAGTATCCTTAAAATACATGCATCTCCAACATCATATAGACTTCCTAACTATCGTATACATTACTTCCCCTTATTTTTTAATTTCAAAAGGCCGTGTGGTATTTATCATCCGGCCCAATTACTCATCAAAATTTTTAATGCAGAAGTATGGTAACGTACGTGATTTTGATGGGGTTTCCGTCTTGTGGTAATTTAGTAGTTAGTTGTCAGTCGTTGTTTATTAGGCTTCATTCTTTATATCAGAAGTAATCGTCCATTTTCAGGTCACTGTATCGATATGCCAAATTATCTTGGTGATAATGTGGAAGACTCCAAAAAGGATGAAGAAGACAAACCTTTTCAGTGTTCTTTTTTCATGCATTTATTGATAAATTTAATTATTAAGTAGTCAATAATAGAATCTCTTTCCTTCTTTTTTTTCGTGATGCTTTACTTACTTGACTTTGATACCAATAGCAAAAGTAATGTCAAATTGAAACATATAAAAAGAATGCTCATTTTTATGCATGTAATGTATTCTTATATTGTTTTCTTTAGCTCTCGATGAAAATGACATCGCAGTTTTAAAAAGATATGGACAAGGGGCGTATTCAGAACAGCTAAAACAGCTTGAGATTGATATTGAAGAGTGCGTTAAAAAAGTAAGTGATTGAAGAATTTTTAGTTTAATTTAATAGCTGCGTTTTCTTTAATATCAGAAAGTATCATTTGCAGTTCTAATCACTATCAAAATACTAGAATTCGTTGTGGAAGCAAAAGTTTGAAGTATTACTTGTCGGTGGTTTTAAATGAACACTTATATTTGCCGCTTATAAATATTGAATCAAGAAACGAAATCAAAACTTTCCATTTTCCCTTCTGTTTGGTTTCCTTTACTATTGGTTGTTAAGTTAGAACCTTCTAGGTAAATGAATTATCCGGCGTGAAGGAGAGTGATACGGGACTTGCCCCGCCTGCTCTTTGGGATATTGCTGCTGATAAGCAAGCAATGCAGAGTGAACAACCTCTTCAGGCATGTTTTTGTCATTATCTTATTTTGTGTTTTGTTTATCAAGCTCTGTGATATGTCACGATTAGCATCTGGTTGTTTAAAACTTAAATTGCAAAGTAATGATATTTATAGGTAGCGCGTTGTACTAAAATAATTACAAGTGAGGGAAATGAACCTCGTTATCTAATAAACGTAAAACAGTTTGCTAAATTTGTGGTTGATCTAGCAGATACTGTTGCACCTACTGATATTGAAGAAGGCATGCGAGTTGGTGTAGATCGTAATAAATATCAAATTCATCTTCCTTTACCGGCTAAAATTGATCCATCAGTCACAGTTATGCAGGTTTGGTAATTCCATCATTGTTCGGTATGTTTGTTACTGACGGACATGTATAAAGAGCTGCATTTTCGTCACAGTTTTCCACTCATTTTTCATCAATTAAATTACAGGTTGAAGAAAAGCCTGATGTGACATACGCTGATGTTGGTGGGTGTAAGGAACAAATCGAAAAACTGAGAGAAGTAGTTGAAACACCTTTGTTACACGTAAGTATTGAAGTGCAGACGAAACTTCGCATTTTTATAAATTTGTTTTATCTTGAGGTTGTTGGGACTGAATTATAAACTTGTTTGCGTAATTAGTAGTATTGATTTTTATATTTGAATATATTTTAGCCTGAACGTTTTGTTAATTTGGGTATTGAACCACCAAAAGGTGTGTTGCTCTACGGACCTCCAGGAACTGGCAAAACTCTTTGTGCTCGTGCTGTTGCAAATCGAACAGATGCTTGTTTCATCAGAGTCATAGGTTCCGAATTAGTACAAAAGTATGTCGGCGAAGGCGCTCGTATGGTACGAGAACTTTTTGAAATGGCTCGCAGTAAAAAAGTTAGTTGCTTTTTGTTGAATACAAAATGTTTTGTTTGTTTGCTTCGTCCAGTTACTTTAATGATATCATATATATTTTACAGGCTTGTTTGATATTCTTCGATGAAATTGATGCTGTAGGTGGTGCTAGATTTGACGATGGGATGGGTGGTGATAATGAAGTTCAGCGAACTATGCTTGAATTGATTAATCAGTTAGATGGTTTCGATCCTCGTGGAAATATCAAAGTATCTCTCTTTAAATGCTAATATTTCAGATACCTTACTGTCAAGTTCTAGATATTTTTGGTAAATATTGCTTTATCTAGGTATTGATGGCAACTAATCGACCTGATACACTAGATCCAGCTCTAGTTCGACCTGGCCGATTGGACCGGAAAATAGAATTTGCCTTACCAGACTTGCCTGGTCGCACACATATTTTGAAAATTCATGCAAAACAAATGAGTGTTGAAAGAGATATTCGTTATGATTTACTTGCACGTCTGTGTCCTAACAGCACTGGTAAGTTGATTTCAATTTGTGATGCAGAAAGAATATGTAGTCATATATTAAGTTCTCATTCTAGCCTTTTATAATACTGTAGTCTTGAATTTCTTTTTCCAAATCTCTTTTATTTGTTATAAACTGATAAAATTTCATAATAAACTGGGATAATAGTGTATCCTAAATGTATCGCTCCAATAAATGTATCGTTCCAATATACTTTTTAATGTATTTTTGGCAAATCTTTGACATAATTTCCTGCTAATTATGTAAAATTATTTTTTCTACGACTCTGTGTTATATATTTCACTCTGAGGAGTTTCCTATTTATTTACTACTTTATTATTTGATATAATAATTCTTGCAGGTGCTGAAATTAGAAGTGTGTGTACGGAGGCAGGTATGTTTGCAATACGTGCTCGAAGAAAGCTTGCTACAGAGAAAGATTTCTTGGAAGCTGTGAATAAAGTGATCAAAGGTTACGCCAAGTTCAGCGCAACACCGCGTTATCTAACACATAATTGAATTTTTCTGAATCTTCATCAATTTTTGATTTTATTTGTGGATACAATATCAAGGCTTCATTTTAATTGATGGTCATGTTTGTGAAGTGTTTGGTTTAACCTGATTTCTTTATGATAACTCTCAACTGTTCATGAAAACATCAAGTTGTTGAAAGGTATTTGCTAATTAAAATTTCTTCAAATTTTGACCTTGTGATTTGGGTATGTTTTTGCTTGTAGTTTGTAATGTCTGAGTTCTTGGAAATTGTTTGTCCGATTCACCACTGGTTCGTACTTAAGGAGCTCATCATTGTAATTGGACACTTCTTGTTTTTATGAACGACGTTTTTTATGAATCGGGACATTGAAGCTGAGGTTCAAATGCTTAAGAAGTGGTCGGCCTATAGACTATATCATCGTATGTCTGTCTACATCTTGATCGTTTCCTTCCTGTACTTCCTGTTTATGGAAATCCCTAATACACTGATTAAGCCCTTTACTCTTACTGTTATCTTGTTACAAATTTAATCATCTTTTTTCATTGTGTAGGATAAAAAGCAGTATGGAGGGAACTACTATATTGCTTTAACAATCACGAAAAGAACATTTATCATACGAGTCCTCATCATTTTTTTATGGAATAAAATCAGAAGTCCGGGAAAAGATTAGGAGATAGTAACTTTTACAATGGCGAATACTACATTTATTTATGCTCAAGGAATGACACTCAGGCTTTGGCATTTCTTTGGAACGTTGGGTAAATATCTACAGTAGATTACTAAACATTCATAAGGATTATAAGATATTCAAAAACAATTCAAAGGTTTAAGACATTGAACCAGTGCGCTATATTAACCAGTAATAGCAGTACACAGAATGGGAGCGATTAATGGTACTCATTACGTGCACTTGTGTACTTGGATATATCTCATTACTAGCATATATTTACTGTCACATACAATCCTATAAGCAGTTTACAAAGTTCAATTTTGTGAGGCCGCCAAGTACAAATCATCAGAGATCACAAGTACACGTAAAGACACTCTATACTCGACTCAACGATGATGACTCGAAAGTTCAGAATTATCAGTAAAAAAATGCAGAAATTCCTCAGACCTAAATGAGATTTCATAAGTCACATTGTTTTTATAATTGAAGACAATATTTTGTACATCACTCAATTTCATGACATTCCAGTTAAGAAATAGACAGATATAAACAATGAAAACAATCGTTCTTGTATTCGTTAAATTATTTACGAAGAGCAACTAGCGATATTGATACTAGCGAGTTACATTTCTTGCAAGATCCCATCTGACATAAAAATAAGATATTCAGTTTGGATGTGTTTTTATTTGTTCGCAGAGAGAAGAGTAATACATTTTCAAATAATACAGAAGTTATGACAGTTTCAGGACTATAAATATAGCAGCCAATACAGTCGAAATGTTGTTAAGGAATAAACCTTAATCTTTTATAGACATGAATAGCTGCGCAAGAGGTAAACATATATACAATAATAACAGCTGTAGAATGGTAAATATCAGTTACAGAAATGGTTGATATGATTAAATTAATAAAACCCGTAAGAATATTTGTAAGCAGGAAAAACTGCATGCCATACTGGTTAAGTGAATCGAGCACACATGGTTTTAAACGTTCGAAAGGACTTTCATCTGCAAAATCTATGTGAAATTGATATATAAGAGGAAAAAAGTCGACACGAATTCCTACAAATAAATATAGCATACAAGACAATTGTTTGTATGGATAACAAGTATAATCTATCAAAGGTTTCCATTTATTCTCACATATTTTTTAGCTAAAACATAATTTAGTGAATAAATTTTCAACTTCGTTTGATAAAAGTAATTACAAATAAAAGTACACAACTTGAGAAAAGCTGCATACGTAAAACTACACATACATTGTAATATTCCACGTCTATTCATTTCAGACACTAAATATAAAAATAACGAACCGACAGAAAACTGTGGCATTTGCGCTGCCCATCCAAAAATAGAAGCCAACTGCACTAATAAGCAACTGGCCATGAAAATAGTATTGAAGACCAGCTAAAACAGCGAAAAGTAAAAGCGAGAATAAACTACTGTGACAACATTCAAAGAAGTCCAAAAACAAGACTCTACTTAACTTACCCTATTAAAAAAAAGGTCGAGGATTTTTGGACTAAGATATTCAGTTTTTGTATTAATAAGAGAAAGACCTTTGACAATATTCCAAATATAAATGAATATTATATAGATCACCATTTCTAAAACATATGGCAGATTTGCAATTCTTCGTGAAGGTGGTCCTAGAAATATTTCTGACGATTTTTGAGCGAAGAAGAGAAATATAGCGATCACCAACAGTTGAAACGTTTTGCAAAACCACGATTTAAGCCTTATCCTTTAAAGTTCAGAATTATATCATTATCCCGATAATCGAGCGCAACAACACTATAGCGATTTATGGTAATTTTCAGTGATTTTATATATACACACTGCTCACACTGGAAAACAATGTATACGACTTAAATAATTTATATAGATGTGCGCAGTATATTCTTAAATTTGTTAACTAAATGTTTCCACAACTGCGAAATTCCTAAAACCAAAAAAAAATTGATGAAAGAAGCATGCCTAAATATCACATTTTTCAACTGAAATTCCATTTCACTCAGATACCACTCTAAGCCAAACTGAAATAAACGATCAACCCTGTAGAAGACATGAAACTCGCAATCGAGGACGCAAAATAATACAGTGACAAATATCCAAACAAGGAAAAAATGCCTTCACGATTCATTGCAACAAGATTATCTCTGGGAGCGCTTTCGGAAAGTAGCCACTTCTAAATTTATAAATAAGAAACAAGTTGATTGCAGGAAAAAAATTTGTATTTCCAAAATATGAAATCGAAACCTGTAAGTCTTTTTCGCTTAGTAAATACTGATAAACGGAAATAATAACCAAACCAAATAGTAAATGAAAGCGACGACCAAGAAGTTGCACGACAGTCTTAAAAAATATATTGTGACCGGGAAGAATGCACAAATACATGCTGAGCAATCATTTAACTGACAAATTTGGAATATCTCAATAAAGTGGCTCTAACATCACTAACTTTTATTATTCATACATCAACACTTCTCATTAAAAAATTATACCCATCAAATTTTTGATCTCAATAATTAAATAGAAATACAGTATAAGCGATGCTGAACATAAACTAAGGAATAATAACGCGATCACTTAAATTCAAAACAAACCCTCAGACAAGCAAGTGTGATAAAGAAATTCCAGTGTACTCCATACTCAACAATCTGCTGGGGATACTTTAGCAGATGCAAAATTAATGTTCTTCCAAAACCCAGACACAACAAGACAGCAGCTGATAAGTGTTTTCGAATATTTCTGTAATCAAACCAACTACACTAATTAGCTGCTAGGATCGCAAAAACCAATAACTTCATCATTTACTATCACACTGACTTTTTTCCATTCAGAACAAAGAGCGCTAATTAGTTTATTTCCATGTGTCAAAACATTGTAGAATTTCCAGCAGGTGCAAAAAGTGAATAAAGTTAAAACCTTTGAGCAGATGAGAATTTGTTTCTACTTGGAAAGTTTTTAAACACATCGACTACAGCAAAGCAATAAACAAAGGATGCAGTGCCGACATCCATAATACTTCTTCCGTAAGTATGAGTTTTGGCAAAACGTCGTGGAAAAACGTCGAAATCAACAGCCAATATTGCTGTTGCAGTTGCAATGAGAACCATAGTTCTGAAATAAAAAGCAGATGTTTTATGGCTGACCATCATTCCGCTATATAACGAATGAAGAAGTAGATGGATTTATTATACAAACTTTCTTGAACTTCACACGCTAAACTTCCAGATTCCAACCCATCACAGCACAAAATAAAACAAACAATCACTGCAGTTTTTTAACCTACTGATTCACACAATGCTCGCATAGTCTTTCCAAGAGTGAACTTTTATAATCTAACAATCTTTGAGAATGCAAATTTTAGAATTTGCAAAAAATTTACAAAGTGATCAAGTGCTTCTTACTTAAAATATATAGCTCATGACACCATGAAAAATGATTTGCAGAATATAAGCACAACCTCATGTAAGTAACAAATTTAGTAGGCGAATGCTGGTCATCAACCACTTGACTAAAAATCTGATATAGCGTTGGTTTTTCTCGAGCAATGAAGCAATATTCACAGAGCGAAAATACGATTAAGGAAAGCAAAGCCACTAATTCCAGTAAGAGTATCACAGAAATATGATCAGAGAATAATGTCAACGATAAAATTATTGGTAACACTATGAATAAAAAATCAAGCGAGAATTTCAGCCTGAAATTATCAGTTAATCATTTAAAAATAATACACATGAAATATTTTGGGAGTATCCACCAAAATTGATAAGTACGACGATAAATTTTAAACAATGGTGTTAAATAAAGAGTTCGAAAAAAATGACTAAATTAAAACTGACCAAAACCCATTTGACAGCGCGAAACGAAAACCAACAAATATCCAAGGTACTGCAATATTTCGAAGTAATATTGAGAACGGAGCAATTAACTGCCAAAGAATGAGCTCTGCTTGACATGTACCATTGTAAAATAAACTGGAGTCTTCCAAATGTGCTCCTTGCAGTCGATGCATCGCACTGGATTAGATTTTCAAACTGAATGTACCGCCTTCAAAAGTGTTTGCTTAAGCTGCAAATATTTTCTGAAAAAAATAAAAGTTAGAGCTCATCCCAGACTTTTTACTGCATGTCAACTTCATCTCTGTTATTTCCACATGATAAAAGCCTTTAAATTTCGCTGATTTTAAAGTTTTCTACAGAACTTAGATTCGAAAACAGGTAGAAACATGAACAAAACAACAAAACAAAGAAAGTATTGCTCTCTGGAGTTTGAATTCTGAGCTGTATTCTAACAGCTCAAAATTCCACAAAAAAAAATTTTTTTAAATAAAAAAATTTTTAAAGACGCAAGATTCCGAACTTATACAAAGAACGAAAAGAGTTCTGGTACACACGCAAAACTACAGCTGCTTATCAAGCATAAATGATTACTGACTGACACTAATTACTTTCTTGTCCTTTAGTTTAGTGAAAACAGCTCAACTATATTCGTTAAAAACCGATTTAAAAAAAAAGACATTCCTAAACCATCCATTAAAGATTCTTTACAGCACTAATTGATCTACATCTTAAATCTCATAATATGTTAGACTGAGAGAATTATTAAAATAGTTCACCTAAGAGAGACATTTTGATTGAACGAATGCAATTGAAGAATGTAAGAAGATTAGACATGGTAGGAAGTCCACTACTTCCAACAAAAACAAGAGATAAGCTCTACTTTCAATAGTTCAAAGCAACTTGAGAAAAAAACAGGATGTCGACTTACAATCTATTTCCTTAGTGAGTATGTTCATTCCAAAGTAATGCGAAGAAAAATTATTCATGAATCAAATTTTTGAAATAATGTGGTTATGGGTTTTTCCAAAAACATCCACCAGAATTACAAACACGAAACAGTTTATTGTCCAGAAGTGTTCGACACAACAAAGCAGTTTGAAATAATTAAATTATTAGATACAATGGTGTTGAACACATTAAAATAACGTCAAGTAATAGTAGATGTTCAGAGTGATTAAACATTTGATTAGTAATTAGGAAAGTAACACGCCTATGTGAGATCGATAATAGCTGAAAACAATGTAAATGAAATTTTGGTTCGATATAAAAAACTATAGGAAACTACTTTTTTCAGTTATAAACTTGAAGCAGTAAAAAATTTATGGGATATCAGATCCATTCTGTCGCGTACAGCACATACTCGGTGGAACAGACCAATCGTAAACGTATGAAGGTCGAATGCGATACTCCTTTTCACAAAGTTTGCCCGTATTTACGAGTGATGTATAAAACTTCTGAAATCAAGTAAAATGGAACAACTTTATTGCATTATACCAGAAGTTCAGAATTTCCTCGTTTCCATCAGTGATATATTTTAATTACATTTACTTTGTCACACCAGTCTTAAGATGGAGAGTCGTGACAAAATTTTTCAGCATTAAAAAAAAATGAACCACTAGAGATTCTGGTGTTTGACTATGAGTGATGATATACTGGTTGTTGCATCCCCTAGAACGAAATTCGGTATCAAAACGAGGGTCATGTACATAGCGAACAGATAAACCGGCCAACCAAGCTCCCACCGATACATCTTCATTTCTAAAAACTAAATATAAATTTTTTTTCGACGACCATGAATTCATTATAAAATTGCAAATGATGGCATTTCACTGTTGTTAATATATTAAAAATTATCGTATCATTTTTATTTATAAGCATACCTGTAAAGTTTCAGAAGGTCCATGTTTCGAACAAAAAAATCAACCAACTTGTAGGATAAAACATAACCACCCCCAAGCTATAAAGATTCGAAAGATATTAAAAGCAAGTTTAACTTGAAAAAAAAAGTTGTAAAAAGTATTGGATTTACAAAAATTCTTCATTTAATACATTACCTGATAAGGGACATAACGATCACATATAACCCAATCTTTTTCGGCCCACTTCCCTTTTCGTTTCGGTTTAGCTCTTCCATCTAAGAAACCCCAGTACAATCTTGGATGCTCAATATCTTTCAATGCCTTCATAAGCCCTTTTAATCGAACAAACGAATCAGAATCAACCTGCAAGATACTTTTACTTAATAAAGAAAGCCGACAACTGAAGACTGAATTTTATTAAATATCCCCATATGCATTTTTCGCGTTTTTCTATGACGTAATACACATTGAAAAGCACTATTTTTGAGATTAAATGAGAATTTTAACAACTTCAAAAAAAATGTAAAGAAAAAATAACCTTCAGTAAAAACTGAAATTTATACATAAGATGTAAGGCTTGTAAAGTCAGTAGGGTTTTTTTCGCCAAGTTTTGGTAAGAATCTGAGAGATTTTCCAAGAAAATTAGATCACCAAATAAATTATTTTCCTCTTCAAGACGTTCCTTCATTAGTAGACTTAAATTTTTCGTTCCAATCGAAAAAACATGACGAAACGTTCTTCTACCTGCAAATTTAGAAGCATGAGCTAACTCCACCCAAGCTAAAATATTCTGATATTCGTTAAGTCATTAATGAGACACACAATTTGAAGAATACTTCGCAAAATTTAGAAACATCTATAACCTCTTGAGGACGACCGCAACCATGTGTTTCGAATAACAGTACGCACAGCGCTATCGCTTGGAGATGACATAATTGAAATTATTAAATAGACTGAAGGCAAATCTACAATTTTACTGCCTGAAAGTTAAGCTATCACTGATGTACTTTTCATATATCATTTTATCAGCCTTCTTTCTGGGTGTATGAACAAATACTCGACAAAATAAACCATGGTTATTCTTAAAAGATAGCGGTTGTTTCATAAAAACCAAATGCTTTATAATTCAAACTCAATAGCACACAAAGCTTCATCTTCCAGAGTTGATTATTTTTTATTTAAGTTGCCAGAAGTTCTTTATCCAAGTTTTTTATTTAAGTTGACGACCACTATATTCATTAATATCATCCTTTTCATGCTAATATGCAAAATGATAATATAACTGAACAAAGATGAAAATTTACAAACTCACTTCGAGGTCTTAACAAACTGTAAGGTGCAAAACCAGGCAATGCGTTCAGGGCATCTCGTTCATCGCAAGAGCAACTCAATAAAAGTGTGATGGTGCAAATGACGCAAACTGCACAACCACATAGAATCAAAAGCATTCTCACAGATACTAAAGTTCGTCGAGTCATCTTCATGTCCAACTGCCCTCATTCCGTGTATTTAGGTACGAAACATTATGTTCATAATTTGTGCTCAAAAAAGTAAAAGCACCATTATTTATGTGAATGGCAATCTTGTTAACGGTAACCCAACTTAAATCTACATAATTACGTTTACCAATTATGAATAATTTACAAATGCTCGACATGCTTATAAAATTGAAAGAGGTCTTACTCAAATTCTAAGCAGAAGCTAAAAAGCTACAATTTTGGTGAATTCAAAAAATGTATAGAGTGCAAAGCTGTCATCTTCCCTACATCATCTCGGTATTTCACTTTTCAACTGTTTATAAGTAGAGTTCGTCCAATATTGACAGTACATATCTTAACCTGTAGTGAGCAATACTTATTCCAGTCCCAAATCCATAAATTCGGAATCACAGCCAACTTTCTGATTAACGTGTAGTTCTCTACCTAGTCAGAGTACTATTAACACTGATTAATTTGCACAATCGTAAAATACTGCTTGACATTTCGCAATGCTTAATAAAACAGCTAGAAAAACCTGTTATTGTATAATTTTGCATCGTTCGTGAGTTAAAATATATGACTGAAATATGTTGACTGAAATGCATTGAAATAAAACTAAAACTGCATATTAATCTTTTATTCCAAACCATGCAATGTACACATAAACGAACAATAAAATCAGTAACCTCATATCTAGTCCACTAGTATAGAATGATGGCAAAAAGTAGGTCGTCATATAAAAGGCATTAAATTATGCATATTAATATGAGGTTCGTGAACAATACTTAAAAATGCTTATGAAAATACGTACAATGTCAACTTGATCAACTATTTTTCTGCATATTCAAAAATTGTGAAATTGTAAAATGTAAAACATTAATAAACTACCAGTAATTTTGACATTTAAAAAAACACTATGAACAGAAGAACAAAACTTAGCCTTCAACATGCATTCCTTCTGTCTTCACAAATTTCAGTACTGGTTACTTTTTAAATTGAATCACCATCAATCAATCACAACTGACGAGACATCAGACTGATCAATTTATATGACACAATATATCAGTTTCCAATGATAAAAACCAAATCAGTTCTCCTCTTGAGCAGATAATATGACAAATCTAACTGCAAACGCAATTAAGACCACGCCTGCAAGCACCACAAGATTATACGTCAAAGTAGCGTAGTCGCCTTCTTCACCAGACCTTAAAAAATTGTGGTTCTGAAATTAGTGAACACACTCAAACGACAAAAACAAGGCATATTCCGGTAGGTTTTGAGATGAAACCTGGAAAAATATTAAACATGAATGATACCCAAATTACTGAAATTTAACCTTCTCAACGACGTAGCATCATCTACAGTGTTTTCATCGGACAATTTGCTTTGTTCGTCTGCTAACTCTTCTCGTATTTCTTTAGCCAGATCACTGAACAGTTCACAAAAGATTCGATCCTAAAAACAAAACCGTATTATTTATGAAGAACGAGAATAGCTTAAAAAAACAGTGAAAGCTATAAATGGAAACGTGACCTTCAAATTGAACTCTCGAGACTTCCTAGCAAGGGAACGCTTTTCGGCATCACTTGACGTTACACTGCCTAAAGTTGGAGCAGTATCGTTCATGAAAGACAGCAATCCTGTTATAATAGTTGATACCTGAAATACTTTATAGATTTCATATTACTTGACAACATTCCTCTCAAGAACATGGAATTTAAAACAAACTGTCCAAGCAGGATTCCAAGTATCTGGATGGAAATCGGAGATCGAAAGACACAGTCTTGTATTAGTTTGAAATCGTCCAGAAGGTGTAATCATAAATATTGATGGCGGCTTGAACGGAAAATCTGGTGGAAATATGAGTTTTCCATGATATAATCCACCTTCAAAAATTGAAATACGTCGTGTTAAACGAAACAGACCAACTTTTTATTTATACAAATATTTCAGTTAACTCTACAAAAAAATAACCTGCAAAATAAGCAAAAGTCCATTTAATGAAACGATTGTAATAATAACCTTCATAAGGTGTTTGAGGTGCTCCTCTAATAACGTAATGCCACTCCAAAATATTCGAATGAAGAGGGGCAGCAATAACAAATGGTACAGGATCCTGAAACAATTCTCATATATAATCCATAAGCACAGTCTCTTCATTAACTATAATAAAAGTACAAATGCAATAGCTGTGACTAGCATGTACAAATAATATTTCAACAAAAATCCTCAATTCCAACAATATATGAGAGTAGGTTTCAGATGCACACTAACCTTCATTAGCTTAGCATAGTCTTTCTTTAGCCTTGAAACAGCCGTAACTGATGGACCACCCATAGTATTAGTAGTTGTCTGAAAAATATTCGCCAAACTTTTTCTGATAAGCCAATCTGATATTACTTCTATATCATACTCCTTGAGTGCAACTTTTCGCATAAGATCTCTTTTACAATAGCACTTCCTGTAGTCAAAAACATCGCGCAGAGGGATTCAGTGATAGACCCTATTTGTATGAAAAGTAAACATGAAGAACACTATAATTATTTTAGTTATTAGGAACAAAACAACCCCACACGACTTTTTTTACACGCTCCAAGAATAGCATTAGTGACAAATTTACTTCAACAGAGCAAATTACTAGTGATGATGGGACAGTATGTCACATCCACGTATCCCACAGCAATTCTTATCTCACATATACACAATCCTGCCTATTGAAATACAAATACAGCTTACTTTATTCACGCAATCCACGTAGATTACTGACGAGGTGAAGTAAAGTGAACTGAAACCACACAAGTAAGCTGTCAGTCGAGTATTTCTAATAAAAAACAATGAAAGCAACAATGAATTCGGTAACCTTTTATTTAGTTCTCAGTAACAAATTAGTGCAGGTCGAAAATAAGAAAAATCTGAAAATATCGCTACCATAACACGTCATCACCATTATGATAATAAGTTCTCTGCATATAAACCTGAATATGCACTATGCTGTCAGCTATTTGCTATAACTCCACGTATCTCAGTATAGCAAGCTGTTTCTCGAGGGAAAACTCCATCGTCCCATAGATTTCATATTTAGAAATCTAATAAGTATAAACATCCTCTTCTCTTCACAAAAACTATACTGTACGAACCCAACACTTATTTACTTCATAAATGCACATCAACACTAAATCAGAAATGTAGACCGCACCTCCCCACCTGCCATTTTCATACCGCATCGTTTCGCATCAATGTAATACAAAACACATCTAGTAAAAAGAGAATACTGCTGCTTCATGTCATACAATCACAGAACGGCATTGCATAAAAATACCCTTGCTATCTTTGACGCATACTGATTACCAATCAGGATGTTATAGACAACTTATATATATTTATTAAAAACAGAAGGAAAAAAATGGTCACAACACAAATCCCTGAGAATTCGTGAACAATCAGAAAGAGTGTCAAAAATAACTGGAAAAGCACTTTAAATCTGCAAAAATCCGATACAAAAATTTGCAGCAAATCAGAGGTATGTTTTAAAAGCAATGAATAGTAAATGAGATTGGAAATAATTGAACAGTATGGATGATAGAAAAAGGCATGTAGAATAAAAATAAAACAAGAAAATAGATCACAAATTTTACCACTCAACATTGCGGTGAAACACAATTCAAATTATGCAACGAAAAAATACAGACACATTCCTTTTAAAACTTCTTACAATCCAATAATACCAGTCAAAAATGCGGTACAAATTATTTTCTATTGAAAGCCAAGAGTAGTAAACAAAATATGTGGAAAACAATACCCGAAAATTTTAGAGTATTATGACTCAAAAACAGCAAATTGATTATTCATGATAACACACTAAATACAATGAAAACTGGGAGTTATGGAAGATGAAACTCTATATGTAATTTGTCAATGATTTCGTAAAAGGAAAGCAAAATATAAAATGTTCATGCATTCACACTATCTTTTTGAAAGAAAGTAAAATACTCTAAAACCTTCTCCTTAAAAGGAAAAAAATGAAAAGACAGAATAGTACATTAAGAGATTCAGAATATACAAAACAATTAGAAAAAAATGATAGTACTCACATTCAAGATGTAACTTAATCCAAAAATACAAGTCCACAACTAGAGCTCAACTTCTACTACTCATGCACTACTTTCTCTGATGTGACACTACTTTCCTTCCTGAAATCATCTCCTTCAGAAAAACTTGACAACTCACTTTCCTCATCATCATCTGATTCATCCTCAATATCATTATCTAGCTCATCCTCCGGTTCTGTCGCTTTGAAAAGTTCTTCACCAAATGCATCCATAAAATTTTTGTTCTACAATGAATAACTTAGATTAAAATAAATGATAACACATGATTACAACACATATGTGATTTTCCAAATGACGGAACTCAGTGTAGTTCCCTTTTTAAATGAATTTTATGCCCAAAATTTTAAAAAAAATTAACAAATACCGTTTTGTTGTAAGACATTGATTCCCTTGCATAAGTACGCTTTTCATTCTCGTCGCTTGTAATAGCACCTGAAACGACTCCACACGAAAGTGTCATCATGCTTACTGGCAAGAAAATAATAACTTCATTTAATATGGAGAAAAAAACCGGCAATTTCCAGATTAAACATATTTGTTCACATCAATTACGCCAATTTTTACAGTTTAATCCAAATGAATATAAATCTTACACAATAAATGCAAAAACTGTCACATACCGACTCCCATTATCTGTTCATCAAACATCATAAAATGAGCGAAACAATGCAAAAATGTCCCAACAGTCCACGACGGATCCCAATTCTTAGGGTGAAAAGCGGAAATAGATATACAAATCCGTTCCCCAGGAATGAATCTAAACTGTATCTGAACTATAAAATCCAATATCTCACTTAAGTGAAATAGCATCAAAAACTAAAGCAATAAAAAACCTTCAACTGTAATTAAAGGATCGAAAAAATGCTCAACCTTCCATTTGGAGTATGCATAAGAATGTGAGGAGGAATAAAAGGAAAATGTTCTGTGAACTCAAGCTCGCCATAATACTTGCCCCCTAAAATAGTGTGAAAATGAGAAGAAATAGGAAAAAATTCCAATTGCGCCACATAACTTCCTTATCATAATGATTATATGTACATTATAATAGATTATTGCTAAAGAGTTACCATCATATGGAGTGTCTTTAGCGCCTTCAATAACATATCCCCACAACAATAATGTTTCATTGAGTGGTTTCGCATGAATGCCTGGAATGGGATCTTTCTTTAGGTCTTCGTATTCATTTGATAACCGAAACCGAACATGCGTATTCAAGGAACGGTGGTTCATCATACACCTGAAAACAGTAATGTAATGAAAAATCTTAAGACCCAACATAACTTCTGTCTGAAATCCAGTTCAAAACCTGTACCATCACAGTACACAAGCTATGAAGTCAAAAATGGTAATTACACTTACCTACAATAAACCTTCACAACCACTAACCTATATAATAGTTTCCGATAACTAGGACATAACCTCCAACACAAATACACAATTCTTCAGCATTCTTTCCCCACTTCAGTGAACCAAATACAATTTCCACTTCAATAACACATACTTTCCACAAGCATCAAAAACATGCTTGATGTTTCTACAAAACCGCCACTGCCATGCTGTATTATCACAGTACACAAGCTATGAAGTCAAAATGGTAATTACACTTTCCTGCAATGCACCTTCACAACCATTAACATATCTACACAATTTAAAAATCGTCCGATCCAACTATGCATACAACCATAACTACAGAATACATAAACATGTTATATATGCTGCTACCCTGTTAACTTATTAACACGTCCACAAATGAATCAAAGTACCAAAATCCGCATTCACACATGCACAAAAAAAGCATGTTAAACATGGTCCTGCTTTGTGAACCTATCAATAAGTCGAGAAGTGAATCAAAGCACTAAAATTACACTCTTATAACATGATATGACAAGAAATTCCCGCTGTTTTGCATTTATGCAAGAAAACGTTAACGACGTATCATAAAATGACGAAGTACAGGATATGACTGAACTTATTATGCTCTCATCACATTGCTAATATATTTATGAAATATAAGATACAGATGTATGATAGGAAATAGTAGAATACAGGAATGTAAATGATTGAAAATTGGTATATTCAGAAACATAATTAAATTTTATTGAATACAGGCGAACGCGAATTTATGAGAATTAAAACATTAACACAAATACGACAGACTACTGATCAGAGTTTTAATTCTTCTTTTGGACTAGGAATGCTGCGTGGACGTTGTGTTGCAGATGATGTAGCTGTTGGTGGAGGTGGCAACAGAGGGAAATTTCCAAAATTTTCATCAACATCTGACGATGAAATTGCCGTTCGTTGAGAATTTGTAGTTTTTTTCTAAAATAATTTTCAATAACCTCTGATAAACGAAAGTATGAATATAGTCCATTCTAAATTTATCAAATATTAAGAATATTTTTATGAATGGATATAAGTGAAATTGAGGATAAACTTATTACTATACAGATAAGCTAAAAGTTTAAGGACTTCGACATAATGGTCATATTTATATGTTATGTATAAGATTCTCGACTTTGCCGAGTTGCCAAGCTGCTATATTCATAGGGCATAAAATGGAGAGTGAAAGAAAAAAAAACCGTAAACGTGAACAATAAGAAAACAGATGCGGTTAGAAAAAGTTCCGTGAAGAATGTGAGAGAGCACTCTGCCAGTGTAAAGCAACGGCTGTGGGCAGAACGACCATGTTCGAACACTTCTCCATGGAATCGAGATTTAACTGAGAAGGTAACAAGAGAGGTGCTGAAAGCGGTCCCCGACCATTTCGGAAGAATGCCGAACGGAGGATGACCATTGTGTCGTACCTTTTGTAACTAGAAGTTCTTGTGTGCAATTACCGTCCTCAACTGAAGAAGCAAGCAAATTCTGCCGATCGACAGTATTCTGGTTAACTGTGCTTACAGGAAAAGTTCTTCGAGAACATAACGAAGTGTCTCAAGATACTTAACCCTACTTCGACGGAAATATGCCACATGAATACAAGGTTTATTTGATCATAAAGTAGAATTACCCGTTGCTACAAGAAGCCCAGGGACGTGAGATAAACTAAACATAGTGAGCGCAGAAAAAACATCGGAAAGCGTTGATCCGTTTGTACCTGGAGCAGTGAACCAAATAGCAGATGAATATGCAACAAAGACTACCACAAATCAATGACCGATATTGCAACGCAGATTCCGGTGACACAACAATGCTTATCAAGGCAGTGAATGAGCACGCCAAAAGTGTAATAAACTATTACATTGGGCCACTCATGCTGGAACCACAAAACTTCAAAGCTATACACTACGATAGACAGTTATTAAGTAAATAGGGAATTCACAATCAACATGCATGTATAGAGATACTGTACTTGCCCTGAGACGAGCTAGGACGTGGACTTCATAATGTTGAACAGAGTAGTGAGCATATGTTTCTTCAATTTTACAATATTTTCGAAGATACCGTATCCATATCTAACAGGAAGACGGCGATTTTGAAGCAGGAGAAAGCTTACAACATGTAGTTGGCACTTAGTGTAGCCTACCTACAGACTAGCTTCAATCTCGTAGGAAATCCAACCGTTGAAAACGTATTAACAGCCCAGAAAGCGTTTCCGGTATAGCGAAATAGAAAAGAAAACTCGACATGCAAAGCTATACAATATGTGGACGAATAAACTTTCATCGCAATCAGATTAATCAATGTGGATTCATACGAAGCAACTCAAATCAACACAAGAAATCTGTGCACGGAACAAGGACAACTAGAGTGCCCGAATACGACGAGCGAATAATAAAGCGGGAAAGAAAATAAACCTCTATGTGATATTATATATATATATATATATATATATATAT